TTTCATATTAGTAACTTACCGCCGGCTGCGAACCACCGTAGGATAAGGGCTCGTGTCACTTCCCTCATAGATATGTTATCTGAATATCGATCAAAGGAGTTATGTACTACACAACAGTTTGCTCTGTCTTAGTGTATAGCTGCGTGAGATGGCCATTAAAAGTATAAGATTCAAAGACACTATTTTTCTTTAATTACAGGTATTTGTGTTGTATTTCTCGTTTTAAGTGGTATAATTTTGTAAGTGATACTGAAGTTAGGCACGTGGTGTTAATTAAGGTAAGGTAATCAATGAGATTGTGAAGCTACACCGAATGATGTAACTAGGTTACGTGCTGCGCACATCATGATCCTTCCTCATCCATTAATGTGTACTGACATAGAATTAGGCTAAAAGGAGTTAGGGGTGGTCAGAATCAAGCATGGTATCTATCCAGGGAAGTGTAGACTAACTGGTTGGGGTCATCTGGAGGCTAATAACCAATGGTTCGAGACTTTTAGTAACACCACTTAAAATGGTTCTCATTGGGGAAGATGAATTCACTTTTTTTAATCATTCATATCAGTTAGGTCTTCATGTTCCTCTACATAATAATTCTTTCTACTTTATGTTTCTGTTTATTATAGTTCTTTTGCGTTGTTTGCTTTTTTCTATTTTTGTGTGTTAAGTTTGGCAACTGATGCAGTTTTGTGCAAAGCCCTACTTTGAAAACTCATTCAGGGTGTCTTCATCACAGAAGTCCAGTCTTCTCTGTTTCTTCTGACAACTTATTGATCTTCGTTTGTTAATCCTGGATTGTGTGCGACGCAAGACATAAATTATCGGAGAAATAGAGATCTAGAATATTTTAGTCAGCCCGACATATACTCATCTCACTTCTCACGGTCTGTCGCATGATCCAGTCCACCATAATTAGGAAGATTACCAGTGATATTGGGCAGTCGCGTCTGTTTTGTTGGAAGGTTTGTGTTCACTGACATTTCTGTGTCTATTGGTGATAACTCACCGCAAGTTTGTGGTAGTGGTCCTTTGAAGTGATCACCCGAGCGTTTCTTCTCTCCCACTTTTTTGGTAATTGAGTTTCGTTCACTAATTTTCAATGACTTCATCCGCGTTGTTCTCTCTCCGGCTGGCGGCCTTGTTATTTGATATGACGTTGTGAGGTCTCTGTTACCTGGACCCTAGTCTATTTCAGTGGTGTGTCGCAAAAGCATCTTTTGTTTTCCTTAGCATTTTTCTGCACTACTTTGTTCAGTGAGCTGCAGATTATGCTCAACTTCTCCTTTCATAGTTCACCTCTTCATTGGTTAGCATTCTACCTCACCATCCTTTTCTCTTTTCTCATCTTCCGGGTGTCCATAGAGAATCATTCCTGAAACAATTACTGACGAGCAAAAATACAGGAAAGCTATTTAATCATTCTTCAGAAAGCGGGAGGGGTGTGTGCACACAACCTAACGACAGATCAAATTTTGAAGTGATCACGTTTAGTATTCACACGCTGGAGCAGAATTCAACGACCAGTGCATACCATATTCTGACACACGGAAAGCCTCAAATAGTCAATTCTAAACAGGAACTCAAACAATGAAGTTACCATTTGTTCTGAGTTTATCTTTCAATCCAACTCCAATCTAATCTTTATGAGATTGAAAAAAGAAACTGAGACGTAATCGTAGTGAACTTTAATTTCCAGTCGTTTTAATTGTCTAACACGCAATTTAGATAATTCTATGAAGTTAACAGATAAGAAGACAATACACGTCTCACTGGATTAGATACTAAATCTTAAGTTTAAAGACAACCTGAACACTAGGAAATAATATTCAGTTAACAAGCTGTTTGACAGCTACAGGCATTAAAAATTTCGGCAAACTGTTCAGGTATCTAAACTGAGGTGTTTGTGTGTGGGTGTGAGTGGGTGGATGGTCAGATTTACGAAGTGTAGATAAAAACCGACGTGATAAAAAAAATACTTCTTGAGATAATGATAAATAACAAACAGTATCAACAGCTACGGAATTTCGAATACAAATGCAAACAATAAATACAGTTATTTGTTCAAGCTTTGTGAAAACATATTACCAGATTACTAAACACCATTCTGAGGATAACAAATTATAGCAAGAAATTTTAGTATTGGTAAATAGTACATGCAGTAGTAGTACTGCAGTTCAAATATATCTGGTTAGTTTTTGTAAAACCAAAAAGACCAAGGATACATACACCTATAACTAAGAGATTTTGTCTCCATATTAGATGAAGCGTAAAGTAAATAACCCTTCATAATTAACAACTTTGAACAGTCCAAAAATTACTTCCATCCCAAACAGATGTGGTATGAGCAAAAATGATTGCAATCAAGTGATGTTATCTGTTTGCACTAATTTACTTTATGACCTCCTATTTCCATCCCAGCTTCTTTATGATGACAACTGTTTGACTTTTTTTAACTCCTAAAACATATTTGATCAAAGAACTTCCTAACATCAGCGTTGGATAAATCTACCTCCATTTCGGATTGAAGTTGAAATTTTCAAACATTCATTGCAGTGAAGCGAATAATCTAAATTTTAAGACAAATATCATTATTTATCAAAAACAAGATATTCTACGCTCCAAAATGTGTTGATCGCTCTTCATTCTACTAACTTTCTACATAGAAGGATGCAGTAACGTACACTATACACTGTACTGTACAGATTCGCGAATTAAAACAGCTCTGTCGAGACACTTCACTACTTAATGATATATATATATATGTATATGGCTTATGTATTAAGATTATTGGAAGAAAAGAAACGTTGTTATGCTGGCAAAGAAAGGTGACTTAAGCCTGTGTAAAGACCCGAACGGAATCATGCTCCCGCTTACTTCAAGCAAAGTATTATGTCGCGTCATCATGGGGAGACTAAAAGGTGCCCTGGATGGAAACCCCCGAGGGGGATAGTTGAGATTAAATCAAACAAATTCATGTGTGAATCTACTTTCAAAGTTCTACATAATCAACCAACAAAGCCTAAAATGGAAGTCATATCTTTGCCTCAATCTCATCGACTTCGGAAGGGCCTTTACGAAGTTGGATGATATAATTCTAAAACTGCTACAACACTACCAAGTGCAATGCTGTAAAAATTCATAGACACCGTTCAACAGCTGTATGATGCCAAGTGACTCACAGTGGGGAGCTAACCCAAGCGTCTAAAATGAAGACAGGGGTAAGACAAGACTGCCTATAGTCACCGATGTTCTTTCTGATTGTGATAAGAAATGAGAAGACTGGTGTATTTGTTAGATTGACTAAAAGACTTCTCCTTCAAAGACCCCAACATGGTGTGAGCGACTTACACTACTAGGATCTAACCGCTATCCACCCAACGTTTCTCGTATGATAGGACTTTCAGAAACATTCTTTCCAACCATTTTGCGACATTGGGTTGTTGGGATATGTATTCACAACCACCACGTCAGGGTAGTAACCATCGGTCGAGATGAAGATACATAACCAATAACAACACGCACTACTCCCCAATAATGGGAGGAATCTAAAGGAAGTTGTAACTTTAACTGACCTGGACAGACAACTTCTGACCGCCGGCATGGATGAGGAAGTCTAACTCAGACAGGATCGAGGATTCAAAACAGACGTTCATTACTCTGTGATCAGTGTGAACATCTACAACACGCAGAGCAAGGATAAAGATCCGAATTCTCAATATTAATGTAGAGTCAATGATTCAGAGACTTGGAGAGCACATCACAAAAAGCATTTCCATTGTGCTGCACACATTCGTCAACAGGTGTCTTCGTTGGCTTCATACTGAAGATCAAGATGACTGATAGGAAAGGATAACCAACGGGGAACTCTGACAGGCAGCGAACCAGTCAAGACAGAGAGATGGAAATGGAGATGGATGAGTTTGGTGTCCGAGAGTGACATGTAGGCTGTCATGTGAAGAGGCAATGAAAGCTTGTGGGTAATTGTGCAAGTTGGTGTAAATAATGGCAGACAATAGAGTACAATGGATATATGCTCCTGAAGCCTTATTTTCCAATCAGAACATGAGGAATGGATAATAGTAATAATAATGGTTGCCTCTCTTCTAATGGTTTGTAACGATTTCCATTTTAAGTATAATGCTCTTATATTAGTAATATTCCCTCCAAGATATTTCCCACAACATTATCGTTTTTTTATGCAGCTATAACTATCTCACTGTAAAAAAAATGTTCTCTTTTGGATAAAAGGTCTAGAATTAAGTGGTTTTGCGGTTGGACATCACATATACATTTTTGTAATTTAGTTATTCTGAATAACTTTTGGGGATTTACCGTTCTGAACTATTTCACATTAGAATTTAGTTTGGTTATTTTCTCAGGTATATTTTAGCGATGTGTTTTAAATAAGGTAGCAGTTAGATGGTAATATTGCCATATAACCATGCAAACAAAAAAGTTCGGAATAGTGTTTAATATTGCATATATATATATATATATATATATATATATATATATAATTAGTGTATGCGTATATTGCTCGATTGATTTTTGTTTAAAATGAACTCTGTGCAAATACGTTAAAATTGCTTTTGTAGATACATTTAATAATGTCTTTGTCCTGTAAGCAGCTGACGAGGAGGCAACGAAATAAGTAATGATGGTACCATTTTATTGTGCTAAAACTGTAGTTCTTGCTTTGTTCAAAAAAGTTTTTATTAATGCGGTAAAACACATGCTAGAAATATTCCAAAGTTTATTATCATTTGACTGAAAATTTTCGATTTCCATCTGTTACTTTACTGTTCCACTTAATTCTTTGTGTAATAGCTTTGAAACATATTTATTGCCCAAGATTTTACAACTTCATCAACTACTACTACCCTTACTAAGGTCTTATTTGTAAAGTGTGACAATGTTGAATCCCATTAGAGTATCTGTATAATCGTCTATTGCATATATTCCTTCCTCATATATTTAGAATGTTATTTTATACTTTTTAGAATTATCGTCCAACTAATGAGGACATAGTTTGGTCACGTAAACCAACAGAATCAATTATTGAAGAAGAAATAAACGTTCATTCGTCATTGCTTGTATTTATTGATGTTGGTGGTCAAACAAAAGAACGTCGTAAATGGTGTCAGTGTTTTGCTGATATGACTTCTGTCCTATTCCTAATTGCTTCTAGTCATTATGATGAACATTATCAAGATCGATTGACGAAGGAATTTCGAAATAAACTACGCGAAGCTATGATCGTTTTTGAAGGGTTAATTAACCATATCGCATTTAGACGTGTTTCTATCATTATTTTTTTCAATAAAACTGATATCCTCAAGGAAAAACTTAATGCTCGTATATCCAATATTCGTGATGAGTTCCCCAATTATCCATTAAAAATGGATCCTTATAATTTACAAGATGTTCAAACATGTATGGTTGAAGCATTCGCTTCTCTAATTAATCATAATTTACCTCCAGATACACGTCTTATGAATACATGCGGTCGTGCAAGCCTTTCACATTCATCATTCAACAGCACAACAAGGCGGTCATCGCTTCACAGGCAAAATTCAGCGCCAGTATCGGCTAATTTAACATACGCCGTACCCGTACGAAAACGTATGATCTATCGTCACTTCACAACTGCTGTAGATAGGCGGAATATTGAAACAGTATTCAATGCTATGCAAGACACAGTATTGCATAATAATTTACGTCGTATCATGTTGAGTTGAATACTATATACATACAAATCATGTGCCTCTATTTTACATTCGACTGCATCATATTTTTATTCTTGATTCTATTCCTGATGTTAACGCTTTTTGACCTCAACCAACATGCAGTGATAAAATTATGTACTTGAGCAATAAATACAAACCAGTCCAATTATTTATCACTCAAGTTTCTTTTTTTTCTTCAACTATTTGTATGTGCCAAATCTAATGATGTCTCCCAATGAAATGACATGCCTTTTTTTATCACTAATTGATATTTCCTTCTATAACCCCTAGTCGTCTTTCATATTACACAAACCGATGTTACTTTCCTCTTGTCCCCTTTTTGCAACTAATACCTAGACTGCATTTGTTTACTCTCCAGTTTGACTTGAATGCATATAATACTTGTATATATCTCCATAAAAATATATACTAATTATCCTTCATACCCTGGTTTTCGGAATATGCATCACTGGCCTTGCTTTTGTTTTTAGGCCTAGAATACTCGCAATCCTGTCAAACATTTTGACATTCTGGCTTATCTTTTTAACTATTCTTTTTCTAAAAAATATACGTGGAACTTACCAACCGAAGAATTCCGTTATTGTTGATAATTATGTTATCTTCTAATTGCTGAAAAACTATGCAACAATTTGGTACCGTTACTCTAAGTCTCATAAAGTGCAGTTTATTCTCTATTGAAAGCATTCATCTTTAAAGTACTTATAATAAATTATTGGACAGCATGACATTTCTTCTGATTTTCTGTGGTCTCTACTTAAATATTACGCCTATATCCACTAATTACATGAGCAGTTTTGAATCAATTTAAAATTATTTTTTAATGAATAAAATTTAAGTGGGGAGGTGAGCATTTAACGTCTAACCCACTGCGTCTACCTCGCTCTAAGTTGATAATTCACACATCCAGTGTGTACAGAGACGATTCCCTACTGCCTAATTGATTTGCACTAATAAAAAAACAGTAATTCGACAAAATCAAAACTGAAAGTATAGATAAGAGCAAATGCTTTGGTTAGTAGAATAATTTTAGTGACACAACACTGGTAATTTTACCAATTGTCAGGCCCATCGAATTATGAAACCCTGTTGGAACTATAAGTTTCTCTCAGAATACTTGAATGACTTCACCTACTTGCTACTAAATGGCATTTGCCAATCTTTTTACAAGTGAAATCGTATATCGATGCTAATATCTATGGTTCCACTGCCCGATGAATCAACACAAAAGCCTTAGTGTATCAGATGCACCTTGTTCGGTTTGTAAAATGTAATTAACTATAACTACCAAATTCTTTATTGTGACTTTTCCTGATGAGTATAACTAAATGTATCAAAAGGCTAACTGAAGGATGTTAATTCGTGCTAATATTATTACTGCCACCCAAAAACCAAGAGATACCACCACTGACTTGAGATTTTACCTGTTGACAATAGTATCTATGGGTCTTAAACCGATGCGAATGTGAGTTCGTGATTCACTTTAGGATAAAGCGGTAGAGGTAATGGTCAAATGCAAGAACAACTAAGTGGTCTTCAAGTAGGTGGACTCATGCCATGTCTACGTAACTGACTGAGTCTCAGAATAGAACTAAGCACAAAAGTGCAGCAGTGCCTCCTAGCCCATGTAACACACAAGGAAAGACAAAAGAGAGAAAACAAACAATTGTGAGGAGAAAAGAATAGTAATGTGGAAGAATAACAGAGTTTTATTGGATATTATAAATCACAGAGTGAATGCATCTGCGTCAGTGAAAACGATTTTGAGCCATATCACCAATTGCCTTCAGCCATTGGTTCTTACTATCCCGTGGATCCCAACCAGGAAGTTTACACCTCCCTACGTGGCTTAAATTACCTGTTATGGATTTTATTGACTGAGACTATGTTTTTGTTTGATCCCCACTAGGTTTTTTCCAACCTGATATCATATCAGCTAACATCGTCTGTTGTGGAGAGCGATGGATCGGAATGCGCAGCGTGTACTGGACATTTCAATCGATGCAACCTCACAACTTCGTTGACTGACTTGCCCTCTGTATCCAACACTCTGCGCTTAACGTCCGTATACTCATATCCACCATTTTATATCACGATATGGGAGATAGTAGGCAAACGCCAATCGTCAATGAAGGTTAACGTCTTCAGGTCTTCCACTTTTAACGGCCACATTACACAACCATAAAGGAGGACGGAGCGAACTACTGGGCAATACACACATTCTTCGATTGAGGTTCGGATATCACGTCTACGTCAGAGATGACGAAAGTGGGCAAACGCTATAATAGCCTTTTGTATCCATGTTGAGATTTCGTCAGTAATCAGTCCATTCAGGCTGATGCAACTTCCTAAATAAGTGGTCAACACGCTCTACCACTACACTCCTTATCTTTACTCATGCCATGTCGCATACACGAATGAGATGTGCAAATGTCTGCGAACGCGAAATTCGCATGCATTACACTCAATTTCAACAACACAACAATAAAGAGAATCATGCGGCGTTACATAGAAAGCTAAGTAAGATAACTTAATCGAAACACTTCAGACGAGCAGGTTCAATTTACGCTGCGGCAATACAAAGATTCAAAAGGTTCTAAGTTTATTATAAACTTTATGCTTTTACTGCAAAATCAGTCATGTCTGGTAGCTCCTCAATACCATCTTTTGTAACCATGCGAACCATGTAACGATCAAGGTTGATAACTAGACGTTTCTGTACTTCCTGAATACACGAACGCAGTAACGACACAGCCTCAGTTACTGTCATATCTGGACGGTGCATTCGATCCAAGATACTTAAGGCAACCATTGAACCATATCCATGAACAGCGAAGGGGACCTGTCGAACACAATATCAATAAATATAAGAAATGGTTACGAATAATGAGATTTGAAGTCACACAAGTATACATGTTAAGGATTGTATGTGATACATAAAAGTTCGCATGATACTTAACCTCATGTCTTTAGTAAGGATTTGTGAACTATGGTTCATCTGTTTTTGGTATGAATTTCGAACATAACCGGCACTTTAAATGGGAATGGTAATGCTATTTTTAAAAATCATACATTGAGATAGAACTCAAAATACACAACGTACTTTTAACATGCACTCATATAGTGCTTAATTCCCCTACATTCTTTTCCGTTCCGCATCAGAAACTTTGGCGAATACAGGCATGATTATGTATTTATTCGTTCCCACTACTGGCATACTTCAACGAAAGTACCACAACTAGGGTTACAGCACATAAAAGCTGAAGCAATATATTGTTTGCATATTTTAGTTCCATTTTAAACTCAGACACAACATTGGGACAGAAATTCGCTCCTGTTAATCTACCTTCTTGCTATATTATAGGCTCATCTTGTTCTACAAAATCCAGTTATATTGGCTGAGTTCGAGAATTCTTTATAATTAAATTGTGGTAGTATATAAGCTACGAAATTAGAAAAGCACCTGATGCCAAATTAAGACGGTACAAATGAGATCGAATCAACCTTGTCCGTTACGATACAAATTTGGAAATAGTGAGTTTGTCGAAAGATAACTGTCGTCGGGATGGTTTACTAGTCTCATTTGGAATCAATTAACTCCTCTCACTACTCTAAAGTCATAGTGGATCAGAGTTCATTCAATCACAGAAATCCCGACCTCCTGAGGCTATCGTGGATCTACCCCATACATATATATGTGCAAAAAATAATACGCATAAGCTACGGATTTTCCTGAACGATAGAACTAGTTCAGAAATACAGGTAACTCACCTTTATCAGGGACGCCAAATAGTCTAAGAAGTATAGTTCTGGTCCAGTCTGCTCATCATAACCCCCAATCAGCATATTTACAAAGTACGGAGACTATGGTGATAATAGAAATTTACAACTGTGCATCTTACTCGACTACGAAGTGACTCAGCCATATTATTTCTGGTGAAATTCGCAGCTGCACTTGGAGTAAGCTCATATCCTTGATAAATTGTTAGATTTACGCACTAGTATCTACCATTTCTTATCTCGTACAACTGCATATTTTGTTGAATATATTCGGAAAAATGAGATGTATCCCCAGACTCACCACATACAGCAGCAAGCACATGATCGCTGAACTTAAACATTTTGCGCTCATCGTGTTTTATAGTAAGGATTGAGTGAGCGCAGCGCATATCTGCTGCAAGTAGCACAAAGTCATTCATCTTAATGCCAATAACACATTCCATCCTGCTGACTAAGCCGATACAATGGGAGCGCCTCGCAAACGACCTCCAAATGTATTTAGCTGAAAGTCTTATATGTTCAGATTCAGGTTTATTTGTTGAGATAGAAGACTTGGAGCCTATGCTAATCCTTTCTGGTAAATTTCTGTGGTTTTCCAAACCCTTCTTGAAGGAATCAGTTGAGTTTGAAGACACTACTTCTTCTGGGAGTCGGTTGATTGGTAGTCTCAGTACATCTGTTGTTTAAATAAAGATGCCGTGGTCAAAAGTCCTTTTCAATATTTAGTCTAGTGTCATGTAGTGAACTACTAGTGTACTTGGCCAAAACAACTGCCTCGTATCTCTGAATAAATCCTTTCAATATATGAACTTTCACTGAATTGTGAATGACAGGTCCATCATAGTCTAGTGAGGGATCAAACACGTTCGCCAAATCATTCGAACCCCAACCATTTCGCATACAATGATCAATTTATTTACCTGCGCAAACTGAAACACGCTGCGAATAATTTGGTTTTCAAGGAAAAAACGTCCCATTCTGCGTTTTGGCGCGATTTTGTATCTCTGAATTCTGTCCATATCATCGTTAATGAATACATCTTTGAGCAGCGGTAAGTGTTACATACTCCTTTCTATGATAAGGGATGTATTCAGAGCAGTCTGGTCACTAAGGAAGGTGAAGGCTGAAGAGTCGCAAGTATTTTGGACAAAGCTCTGGTTTGTCAGGGAAGGCGAGTTCGAAGTTGTTAAAAGGCGTCTCTAATTGTTTTCCTAGAGTCCACACAAATCGACTTAAAAGAAAGCATGTTGGTTACTCTACTTTCTGTGATTCTTAGTCACAAGAAATGCCTACTATGGATGGAAGAATTTGGAAATTTAAAAACAGTGTAAACACGGAAAATGCCAGGAAATTCTTAGAATCCTGGTATTGAGACGAATCAGCGGTTAGCAGAAACAGAACTGGAAGTGAGATCTACCCACTAGATAGGAATGAAGCACATGCCATAGCAGTCCAAATCCTGGCTAAATAAAAACGGCCGATACAAATAGAAATTAACAAGTAACTAAAAAGCTTATACAAAGGAGATACAATTATATCATTCATGGAGAATTCAAATAAGTTCTTTTCATATTAAGGCCTGAGAAGAAGACGATAACTGGAAGGACAACGTACACTTCGCAATCAAATCACACAACTTGGAGGATGCAAACCCATACAAAACTAATACAGATGATTGGATGTGGAGGAGCGAAAACTGAGTAGATTCCACAAAATACTTCAGGCATCATAATTTATTTATACTCAGGTTGATCCCCGGTTCTCTAACTCCCATTTTGCAAGCAAACAATCTGCATATGCGGGCTTAACACAGCACTGTATAAGTTGGTTCCTCTAAAAAATGTCATACCTCGAAAGTTCTAATACATGCGGCTATGTCGAACAAATTAGGGTGAAGTCAAACTACAACAGCCTCCTTAGCGCATTACTTTTGACAACCGACTGGATTTATATGTGGCATGGCAGAATCAAATCACGCCTTCACTTCTGGATCAGCCTTACGATTTCATGGAATTTCTGATATTTTACTGCTGTTCAGATTATTGAAGCCTTTTAGATACTACAACATGGATAATAAGGAAAGCTTGACAAGATATCTGGTCATTTTAAGAGAACTGGAATCTCGAGGCAGATTAAAGAGTAGAATGAGAAATATAAATGGATCCCAGAATGCTGTGGTTAATCACGATCTTTACAAAAGTCTGGTGACTTCTACTGTCCTTTATTTATAAGTAGTTTTTCATAGTCAGTTGTAATGCCTGTTATAGTGTTCGAAATATTATTGTTGGAGATCAAACAAGTTAGTAAACTCAAATGAATCTCAGCCGTTTTTACCGCCAACGACCAATTCCTTTATCCGTGTGGATTCAAACACATGGCGGTGAACACAGTTTTCAAGGGACAGGAGTGCAGCAGAGTCGTTGTGGTGTAATTACCTACTTGTACTCTCCTCAAATCATGGTCAATAAATACATCTTTCAGAGGCCGTAAATGTTATATTCTTCTTTTACTCGGCAGGGTGGTGTTAATAGCAGTCTAGAAGCCAGGTTAGGTAAGCCAGGTTAAAACGTCAGCTGCTAATGTGGCTGGCGCTCGGGTCTAGCAGGACTGACAGCCACATATCAGTCGTGAGTGTTATGTCTAGTCGAAACCGACTGAAAGCGATCTGGAATCTATTCAAGCAGCCTAACTGGTCGCCTAAAGTATAACTTCACCCAAACTGTTATCCCTATCCTCTCTGTAAACTGACAACTATATATTAACCATATGAACATCCATTATTTAAGAAATCGTCTGAAGCTCACAAACTCACAAGCACAATCACATTTGCAACAAGAGCTCTACAGTCAACATGAAATGGCCCTTTTCCTCATACTAAAGCAAATTGGTTCACCTGTGCTAGGATTAAACGAACCATTAAGGATCTAGAAAGTACTAGTGGTATTAGCATGGATGCCACGCCAACTTATTTTTGCAGAGATGATGATCCTGGAATTCCTTTATCATTGCTTTAAATTTTTCCACTTCTTTAGAAGGTCTCGCCCGCCTGAGTAGGCGGAAAAGAACATTCTTCACAAACAAGCGTCAGTCTGACCCGAAATCAGAAGCTAGAAACCATGGGTCAACTAAAAATAAACATATATCTGTTTAAATTATGAAAAAAGTAGACTTTCCAGGCAAGCTAACTTGGAATAGCGAAATTTCAGGTCGGCATTGGATTTCAGCGTTGTAATAGTGATTAGTAGTAATCATCCTTGACATCTGAAAAGTTGAAGGCATGACCGCCTTTATAACATCTTTCCTCGCCAACTTCTCAGTCACTTAGTCTAGGTTATGCAGCCTCAGTTACGAGAACCTGTAGCTTGCTTAATAGGGACAGGTACTCAGTAATCAAACTTTTAAGTGGTGATAACTATATAATCATAATGAATCCATCGCCTATCTCTAAAGTGTAGCATAGTTTAAGACTTTTAAGTGTGTAAACGATACGTACACCTCACAAGATCATCTCTATTAACTTAGGAAACTGAATAATTAACTGTGTAGAAAGCTAAACAAAGTAGCAAATTATGTGAATGTATGTTAATCACGAATATATACATGTATATGTATCAACGTTTCAAAATTTAACTGTCGACTGAAATCCTCTTTTCTCTGGTTTGCTTCATGTTTCCTCTCTCTTCTCTTCACCGTGTGGTTTATGGACCATGTAACAACGGTCTTAATGGATTCGTTGGAGAATTGGTGTCAGTGTTATTCACAGGCTGAAATTATCCCGCATGCTCAAGATCACCAGATGGATGGGGCTTCTGAAGGTCGTTTTCGTCCATAATGGTCAGCCATGTTGAATTGTTGTTCCCTAACCGTTCGTTTATACATTGTCTTTTGCGTTTATCCTGCAGTTATTTACAAGTTGTCTTGATGTACATTGTTCACAAATGTTGACTTTCACCTCGCATTTGTTTCCGTTGCTGTTAAAATGAGTTATATCATTTGTTTCGGAAGTTTTACCACTAGGTCAGATAATTCATTTCATTATTACTGTTCTATACGCTGCATTAATTCGTGGTTGCGATGTTTTAGTTGTTTTTCGGCAGTTTAGGATATAGTACCGAGTAGAAGTATTGGAATTCATGAACATGTTTGGGTGGGAGAAGATATTGTTTCCAGTTCATCTGTTTCTTGTCGTTATTTTTTCTGGCTCACTTGATTACTTAATATGTAGAAGTCTGGAAAATATAAAGTTTTTCACATTCATGTTTGCAGCATGCAACAATCTACGAGTCAATCTGGTGGAGAGTTGGTATTCGCAATGTTTTTGAGGAGCATATTAAACCTGAAGAATTTAGCACCTAGGTTGAAGTTGAGAAAGCTTTGAATTTTTTCGAGGTGTCTATTATCAGTTAACAAACACACGATATGTTGTGAGAGAATGTAAATTAAACAAGGATGCGCCACATGTGAAGTATGAATATGTGCACTTTCGGGAACAAAAAGAAATCTGAAGGTAATCACATCTGTCTTTAAGGGTAAGTTACTTGTGGTTATGAATGATTAATAGAATAGATCTAAATACATTGGTTGCCCGTCAGTGATACGCATCCGGTATCACTGCACTAAATTTATAATACCATCCGTATATATGATTCGTGATGACTGTTGCACTCATGAATATTTAATGAAGGATGCCAAAGCCCGCAAATTAAACGAATCGGAATTGTGTACAATTAAGTATTCCTAATGTGTAACTTAGAAATTAATCCACAATCTCAGTAATGTCTAGTGAACATGGTTTCGTGAGTCCTTTAGAAATTTCATGCTCATATTTAGGAGACCATAGCCATCAGTGGTTAGGACTCTCGCTGACTATGCACAAGATCCGGGGTTCAAACCCCTTCCGACGCACACCTGATATCTATGCTCGGCCAGCAAATTTGGGCTACCGATATCACATGCTGAAAATCCATACCTGCATCAAAATAAACAGTGTGGAATTAATACAGCGGATTGTACTCACAAACTAATGTCAGAGAGGACAGCAACCATGTAATTTTACTATAAATCAAATTCATGTACTGTAAATAATACTTATCCATGCCTGTACAACTGGTGTGTCCTACACAGATGGGAAATATATGTTTATACCTTCAATAATAAACGTCCAAAACCCCAACTTTCTTTGGAGATGATATGTATTATCGATTGGGTAGAATAAACAGCTACTAAATTGTTGAGCCCAACGTGATCCATTTAATGGTGGGAACACAGTACGCTCAGACGATTAATCTATTTAAAATTTCCCTGACTGCTCCTGACTGAGTAGACCAGACTGTAGGTAATCACGATATTAGTTTAATAAGAAATGTATATACTGGTTTTGAAAATATGTCTAAGTAAAAATACATTCATATAGATAACGTTCACCACACTTTGTAGTAGCCTCACAGTACTATCACAATTACTAGTGAATTAATCTTTTCCGTCACTGCATTTTGTGAGCCCTTTGTCATTACTGACTAATGATTATGCAAGGCAGTTTCATTGCAACACGAGATCATGAAACGCCTGTCAACCGTGAAACACCAGTAGAAGACACGCCGGATGCAGTGTTCACATTTGATTTAGGTATGTGGGGAAATCGCAGACAATCTCTGCAGTTAGATTCTTATCATTTCATTTTACTGGTGTTGCAAAAACTATATGGAAGGTTACACTTGGAAGCTTCAGTTATAGTGAGGATGATTTTAAGTCCACATCAATGTTTTAAATGCGTTTGTGTTCACTGGGTTGCGTAGCTTATTTGATAAGCTCTCATTGTCTTTCTAAAAAACGTCTCCAATACAAAAGTGGATATTAAAGTGAATTTATCTGAGTTATGAATGAACGTTTGATTGTATCTCCTTAGTAGCTTTGTGCTCAGCTGTTGATATGCTTTAGTATTGGTCGTTTTTACCGCTTTGCAGTCGTAATCTCCGCGATGACCTGATGTAGGAATGCAGTGAAAGCTTCGTAATGATACTCCCTAGGTCAGTGAACGCAACCACATCAAATAACCTATCTTAAAATCCATCTTAATATTAGTTCCCGAGGTGGTATATCTTATGTAAGATTTTAACTTATTCGCTTTCAGCCCAGAAAGCTAAACTGGGAAATAAGAGATTTTATAATACGGGAGATGATCCCGCTTTGAAAAGACCGAATGTTTTATTCAGGTCCGAAGTAAAGGGACCAGATAAATTTATAACTAGTTTATATGATTTGGAAAATTCTCATATTTGTTGAAACCACTTAATTAAATATAAATACAAAGCGGAAGACTAGCATTCATCGTTCTCTGGATATCTTTCTTTAACAAACCTTTCAATGTCACTTTGTACCAAAATACGGAAAAAACAACAGTGCCTTTAGGCGATGATATAGTCAGGTACAGAGGAACAGTGAAGCATCAGTAATACATATCAGTGCTACTGTCTGAAAAGTTGTTCCAGTTGAGGCCTCTTGCAATATTATTAGCGCCATCATTAAGTCGCCGCGAATTAAGTTGATACCAATTAAAGTCCCTATGTACCTATGAACTTTCAGAAACTTCACTATGATTACTTTTAAAACGTATTCTATTACGATAGTCCGACCGATATATATTTATCCTGCCGGCCGTTATCATGAGGTTCATCACAGCATGAAAAATGGCAAACGAAGCAAAATTTATATGCATTAGTAAGGAAATGATTTGATGGCTGTAACTGTACTTAGTATCTGTGTAAACATCCTGCACTGCTGAGAATGTAACGAAGTACAGAAATCGTCTCTAATTACCTGCCCACAAGAGTGTTATTAACAGACTTCAAGCCAGTGAAAAATTCCGGCACTTTTGAGACTCCAGCAGCTTTTCTATTTTTCAGGGAATTGTGCTGAGCGTTCCTCTGAGACCCTTCAACTTTGTCATGAGAAACTGTATTATCCACTAGGATACACCATAAAAAGTAAAGATTTTGAAAAGATACTTCGTCCCATTTCTCCGGTATCTACCAAAATATCCGGGCATGTTCCATCCTCTCACTGCTTCTCAATTTCACTCCATCATCAGGTTTGTTGTGAAGAATTGAAGCTCAGACGTCATCATCCCGCATATTTTCACTTTTTCCCCTCTTAATAAATTATGCAAGTACTGATTTACATTTTCGAATTGCGAAAGGCATCATTCTGTCAAATGAAAAGTATTCGTCATCTTGTTTTAAACAACCAAATGTGAAAGAAATGTCCTAGCTCACACTACAGCGGCTAATTTTGGTATGTCTTTCGAGTTTCGATAAATGTCAGTGTTGTGTTTCGAGTGTTTGTTTAAGAATTGACTGGATTTTCGGAAAGGTATGGTTTCAAAGCACCTCTAAGCCTTGTTATGTCTGACATTAATTTGATCCACATTAGGTGTATTTTATCCGGCCGGAATCCCAATTACTGTACACCTTTTCGAAGCCCAGTGAAACAAAAACAGTGAATAACGGGCAAAGCCGACTCTAAAAATAAATGGGCTGAATGCGGTTGTTGTACTATCATAATTTTCACACGCATAGTACCTTGTCTTATTCTCATATATTATTAGATCAATATCATTTCATACCTATTACTGGGAATACTATTCTGTCTCTAAAGACCGTTTCCACTAAAGTGTTAGTTAAAGGGAATAATTTCTTGTGACTCCATCTACTATTATAAGGAGCCAAAACTGTAAGTGATATATCATGAATCTAAATTGTATCCTAGATATCCAGGTAAAAAACCCTAGTAAAATGACTCAATGTTCTCTCCACCGTCAGTTTCAACAGTTTATTCTGTGAGAAAATATAGGCGACTCCTACATCACGTCATATAAGCTGATGTGGCAGTAACCACTTGATAGCTGTCAGTAGTCGTTTCTGTGTTACTAGGTTCAGTTAATGTATTTGTGTAACACACTTCGAACATTGCAGTAACACACGTGCTTTGCATCCAAAACCTTATTGGAGAATATGTCGAGTGTTAAAGGAATGAATCTGAACGAATTTAAAAGCCCTTACTAAAGGTCAAGATATATGAAGTTCGCGGAAGTAAAACGGGTGGAGGAACAATAGTGTATTATTTTTGGTGGGGTGCCTATCTGGAAGGATTAAAAGAATATGCACAGCTGATACAGTGGGTCGCGAGAAAAGATTACTAACAGTGGCTTTATGAAAATAGCTACCCAGTAAGATCTATAGGCTCGGAAAGCAGTCAGAGCATCGAAAAATACTCTCACCTGACATCCTCTTTCTACCATTTACGCCTAAACTCATTACCAGTTTTCTACGACAAGAGTCAGCAGGGAACTCATGCTTGTACTGAAGTGCTTATTTCTAGTGTGGTTATGTATTAGTTTTCTTCCGGGTGTCTCCAGCTGTTTAATAATCATCATTATTGTCCTCCTAAACAGGCTCAAAGACAAATAGGAGCTAAATATCCAAATTCCTTTGGTCTTAGGTTAGCTACTAATTTTTCAAAAAATGTAAAGGAACATTGATAGCATTTGCAAAATGCCATTTAGGTGTTTGTTGAATGCTTTTGTTAGTAACAAACACTAGTTCTCTGTGAGCTTCATGATAATCTCAGTAAAAGGCCTTGTTATTATGGATGATCTGTGTGGTAGGTTGCAAACTAGTCATCAACATTCATCCACTGATGAGTATATCGTCACAAAGCCGTTGTATTCTAACATAAAGCTTAATGCCATACAGCAGGTGGATGCCTTTCGACCTATCTAAGTAGGTAACTGACTAGACGCTTTCTTCATTAATCTCTTACTTTTCTTCCGATCATGATGCTGCTATATTAGTTTATGTAGCTCACACTCCTTATATGTTCGAAGTCCGTAATTAAAAACTGACAAAATGTTTGGTAAGTCATTGAAGTGTTGGTGATCGTCTTATTTCATGATAGGTTAATCTGAGTTTTTGTAGCAGTTGTCTCTTAGTTATGTTGTTGGCTGTCGTTTTGTCGCTCATGTCTAAATACAGATGCAGTTTGTTCGTTGAGAATTCTATTTTGAACTGGAAAAACGCTTCCGATTGGCGCCACAACCGCCTTTCCCTTAGTTGCGAGGGAGTTGTACATAATTGCTCTATTTTATCACTGTGATTTTATTGTTCGGAACATTCTAGTGGCTGCTTTAGAAGTGTACATATTGGGGACATATTTTACATTCTTGCAAATCTGTATGACAGCTATCAGTTCATGGTCAAACTCGTAAAAATAAATCTAATCCTTACAAACGAACTCTTGAAAAGTTATGGGAATATTTTCTCATGGTCAAATATTCAGGTTACCCATGTTGCATTTCTTATTTAGTAATCATTGTCCATCATAATGACGAAATACTCTTTCAAGAATAGCAGAAGCTCTTTTCCGAACTCAGTCTTGTAGCAGATCTATCCGAAGTAGTCTAAAAGTTCGCTTATCTAGGCGTTTGTGTGGATGTTAATCGAGGGCACTATTAGTGCAGTTTTCAGTTGCATTTCAATAACTGCATATGGCGCTATGTTAATGTAGACGTCAAAATCACGTTTACAAGACTTCAGTGCATACATATTTGTTGTACACGTGTAGAACTATTCGCCTCTGTTTACACTGTGTTCGGTCACTTTTGTCAACCTAAAACTGTTTGAATCAGGTCATCACACAATGTAAGTCATTTTGATGTCCAATAGGAAATGTTTGAACAAGGTGGAAAGTGTTCGTTGGTGATGCCATTTATTCTAATGTATCCATTTCCGTAATCTAACTTCATAAATGTTATCGAAGCAGCCTCCATACGGTTCACATTTAATTCGTCGGGAGATTGGTCAGGAAAACCGTCATATTTAGGTTGGTAATATTCCGGTACAAGATGGCTCCCCAGACGGGGTTTTAAAGACCTTTTGCTTCAGTGACGATCATGCTTTACTATCACTGTTTCTTCTCCTATGTGAAGTAATACAGAGTTAATTGTATCTTGAAATGTACTCAAGGAGAATGTTTACCTAATTTTTGTTAATCTGACTTTTTCTAATTGTAATGCAGTTTAAGGAATTGAAAAAGCTCATATCTCTGTTGAAAGAGATAAATAATAATATATTATATGAATAGCAGAATTACATAAGTGAGAGACGAGCTAAATAACGGACAAGAAAAATAGATACAGATAACAGTGCGTTATTGTAGTTGTCGTTGATTTTGCCATATGTCAATAAGGTTTCTTCAAAACACTGAAGATTATAATAAGATGTTTCATGGTTTCATATTCGACTCAAACAGTCAATGGACTTGAAGGTTATATTGTATATCCACCTGACTACACATCATTTGTTTAAAAACTAGTAGTATGTTCCATGCTAACATTGTGCAAATGATACTTATAGGATACATTTATAAATTTTTCACATTTTTTGTTGACTGACGTAGTGCTAACTAGTAATTTTAAGGTATCCTAAAATCTTTAAGTGTTTTAGAGTTCCTATCTCACTAAGAATTACAATCGCTCACTTCACTTTAGAATAGACGATTGTTTGGATCAGCCACTCCTAAAATTTTCGGACTTTGATTGTTTTAACAGTAATTTTTCACTTCTCAGAAACAAACCGCACTGGTAATTTTATATTTGTCCCTAAATCTGCATGTGGTTTTCCTCACACAAGGTCAGATAATTTTCGAAGCTTTGATGGTAGCCTGTGATTTTGGTCAACCTTAGTAATAATTCATATGGTCGTCTGAATATCATTAGTGTAGCAGTGAAATTAGACTTCGTACGACCTGAGTAACAGCTAAACTTCTTATGCCTCTTTCAACGTTGTTTTGGGATATTTTATAGTTGTTTATATATATATTATACTGTGCATATTATATACATATATTATATATATTATAGGTATACGCGGTAGTCTTTTAAAAATATATCTTCCTAATCATTTTTATTTACGCAGGTTACTATGACTTATATTATTAAAAAGTTCTTTGTGTTATAGTTTGCCGACTTCAAGATATCTTGATGGCTGATTACTTGAAGTCCGCATTCAATTATTTTGCTACTTCAAATACCAACAAGAATGAGAATGAAATCCTTGGAAGTAGTATATCTGTTGGACAGTTAAATCTGAAAGTAAAGCGAGTTATTGCTGAAGGCGGTTATGGAATTGTGTATGAAGCTCAGGATGTAAATGAAAACACTTTGTATGCTTTAAAGGTATAGTTTCATCTTATCTGAGTTTGTTCGTATCTTCAGCGAATGCTTGCACACGACAAAGCTTCAGCGGATCTGATCATTCATGAAGTCCGTTTGCTGGTATGTTACTGAAGTTTTCATGCTATTTATGATGTTTAATCTTTAGAAACAATTAAGTGGACACCCCAATATCCTCAAGTTTTTCAGTGCAGCATCTGTTGGTAGAGAGAAAGTGAAGGGTGTTGGCACTGAGTTTTTAATACTCACAGAGTTTTGTAAAGGTCAGTTCAGAGTTTTCAGTGTATGTGAAAGTATTTTCGAAAATTGTTGTAATCATATTCCCTATATTGACTCTTCGATATTCATGGCTTTAATTGACGCTCTTAAAGTAGTCACTGACTTGATGGGGTGTGACGTAGTTATTTTGTTCATTTTAAGCCTAGTTTTATTCTATAGATCATATTTTTGATTTCGTAGTTTATAGGACAATAATCACCCTAATTTATATTTCGCTCCTGAGGAGGGCTATTTTCTACGTCGATACCCAAAGCATTTTGTAATCTTGTTCTCATCACTTTTCCTTTTGTTGGTGTATTACGACCATTTTGACTTTGTTAAAACCCTCGATGGACAAGAAACTACTGTATTTGTCAACCTTATCCGCTTGTGGCTAGTGGCTTGAACTTTCTGTAGCAGTGTTTATTTTACAGGATGGGGTTGCTAGCCTCATGCCCAACCTTTCCTCTTCACCAGCATTATTTCTGGCTTAGCAAGGTAAAGAAGTGCGTCGGCAGGGGATCGAACCCCGGACCATGTGCATGGTCGGCGAGCGTCCTAACCGCTATGCCACCGACGTCTATCCTTAGTCTTAAAGACTGGTGTGATAAATGGTCTACATAACCCTATTGGAGTTAATCAGTTCGAATTCCCATACACTTTTAATACTTTAGCTAATGTAGTCAATAATTCTTTAGCAAAATCCATAGACAGATCTGAAGTGAATATATATATATATATATATATATATATATATATAATCCCCTCGTAAACTGGCAAATAACACATTATTGTTTGAAACGATGGTTGATGGGTCGAGTCTTAGTGGGGATACCATCACTGGCTGGGAATGCAGTTACATCCAACTGAAGAGTTCCAAACGGAATGAAGCTCTAATCTCGGATCCCAGTGCTAGCTATTGTCATCCAAACGACATTATTTCATCTGTTTTTGACACTGTTTACTGATATGGTTAATTTAACTGTACAACACTGTGTGATTTATTAAAATAAAATTCTATCCATTATGGAGTTATACTCTACCACAGTGCCCAAGTTTTATACTTATATCAATGATATGCTAAGGGTTATAATTAAAGTATCGCACTCTAAAATTGGAAGCTATGTGTCATTTCACCGTAAAATGGATTATCATAATTTTTGCCCCAATAGATCGTATATTGATCTATTAAATTTCGTTTCTGTGTCTTACTTATTGTTCATTTCCGCCTGACACCAATGGTATCGAAGGAATGACTACACAGAATTAGTAGAATATCATAAAATATGGGACGGTTTCATCTCAGTATTGCTCGTACTTTATTTATTTTTTATAGGCGGACAGTTAAATGAATATTTGCCGGCACCACGAAGTGATACACCATTATCTACCAACGTTATATTACAAATTTTCCATCAATGCTGTCGAGCTGTTCAACATATGCATAGTCAGTGCCCACCTGTAATACACCGCGACTTGAAAATTGAAAATCTATTGCTTACCGATAACTTCATTATTAAATTGTGTGATTTCGGCAGCGCAACTACAATCACCTATAATCCAGACCAATCATGGACTGCTTTAAAACGTGGAAGTGTTCAAGAGGAGGTAATTTATGAAAGTTAATATTGAAAGCTCTATTCTGATTAGTACTTTGATGTTTTGATTGTGTCTTTCAAAACGTTTTCGCTGACAGTTGACTGTTAAGATAACGTAGAACGTTTTAACAAAAGTAAATTATTTCTAGTTGCCACACTTGGGAAGAGAAGTTGTAACGGCAGAAGGATAAGAGAAGTGGCAACGGACTTTTTGTATCAAAGAAGAACGCATCATATACATTTTTAACCACATTAAAAGCCGGCTAGGTCAGCGGACAATAAAGTGTTCTGATTGGTTGGCGATTGGCCCATGCTTAAAGAGAGGGACGAAAAGTCGCCCAATGAGGTTATTTCCATGCCGCAACGTAAACTAAATCCAAATTTAGGGAATAAACACTTCTCACCCTGCAACCATTGACTTTAAATTGTTGGTTTCAATTTAGGGCCGCTTCCTGTTAATCTACATCTACATAGCACACACCCAACTAGACTCCCCCTTCAAACAGCTTCGAGCGGAGCCGCCCCGACCTTTTTGGTGCTACCCACTCCTGTTGCGTCTTGTTATCGGCTTGCTTATCACACTGCATTCTTTGGAGTTGGCTGACGTTAATACAGTTCTGTTTGTTTACTCTTCTGGTGATATACATGGGACTACGTATCCTGGTGACAATGTATGGTCCATCCCACATCGGGAGGAATTCCCATAAACCTGACCCGCATCCAACCGTGTACTTCCTCTCTCTTCACTCTATTTGATCTCTGAATTAAATCGTTATGTATTTCTTCTTGTTCCTCTGTTCTAATTTCGAAGCATCCATCTGTCTATACTGTTTAGCTGTCGAAAATCAATACAGAATCTGTATTTCCTATTTGTTTTTTTTTCACTAAGAGGACTGGTGGAGTTATACAGGCTGACACATTCTTCAACTACGTTATCTTTTATTATCTCCACTTGTTGCTGAACTTATAAATGATACGGGACTCTCCGTTTTGGGAATGGCGTCATTCTCTAACCAGTCACTAGGTTTTCATGCCCCGCCTTATCACAATAACTGCAAGGATATCCATCTGAAGTGAATAAATGATGGTATTCTTTAACCAACGTTGTTATATTCTATATTTTTGACAAATCTATCCCTGCTGTTTGAATGTTATCATACATACTGATACGTCCGTACTTCGTGATCACAGCCCTTTCCTTTGCGTTTGTTACCTCACTGGCCTCTCTCAGAAAGTCAATCCAAAGTATTGTTTGTCGTGACTGAGGCACAACAATCAACGGAAAAGTTACTTTGTCATTCCCAATGTGAACTTTACAGTTTGACATGTCTGTGATTTTTAACGTGTCCACCTACAGTTTGAACTGTCGCTAAACATAGTTTAACACTGATGGTCGAGGAAGACCATGGCTCAGTTTGCACAACATTTCAGTGGACTGAGCTTCACTAATTCGTCGACGGATTTACCTTCCTTACCTAACATTAGATGTCTAACGTCATCACTACCTGCCACCTCGCTTCAACCAACACGAATAGTTGAGTGAATGTTCAGCATCACTTCGCTGTGATCCGTGCAATTTTTTAGCTGGTTATTCCGGTTCTAAACCGGGAAAAGATCGGAGGTTGCGCCCAGTGGTCACATCACCATTGGGACTTCAAAGCTCAGATGGGGATCAATGGAAATGGTCTTTTTATAGAAGGCCTAAATAGAAAGAACAGTATCTCTATAACCACAGTTTTTATCCAGTCAAGTATAAAAGGCACTGACGAGTTTCCCATTTGAAATAATTTAAAAATTATGCCAGTCCGACACAATGGATTGAGAGGAAAGAGTATTACCAATAGGTGATTGAAATTCATAATCATATGAAAAGCGGTCAGAGCATCAAAAACTACTCTCCACTTTTCCTCCAAAAGACGATGTATTTATCACGCTACCTTACACAAATACTTGGTACTCAGGTTAACATTGAGCATTGTTATCAAAAAATGTTATGCCTCTGGTTTCCGGATTATTGATAACTTGAAGTCTGTCTATCCTTCTAAGCTTTTAGAACAGGTGAATTGTGGTGTCATATCTCACCGCATCTGTCTATTTGGATATACATTTGGTCATATATGTACACTGAAGGACTCGCCGATGATTACGAATAAGGGTTAAGATTCATCAGAAAATTATTGAGTCCTCAGAATCGATTACATCCGTTTACATAAATGAAATTGAAAAATACTTATTTTCTTCTGCATTTGTTTGGTCTTTATTTCATGCTAATCGTGATCAACAATATTTGGCAAACTAAGATTGTTATTCTTCCACTACTTCTTTGTCATTTTCTTCATAGTTGGAACGTTTCACAACACCAATGTATCGTGCTCCAGAAATGCTGGATCTCTATCAAAATTATCCTATCGGTACAGGTGCTGATATCTGGGTAAGTTTTTTTTATACTTCCTAAATATTTTTAGATAACATGCTTTCTGATAAGTTTGGTTTTTGTGATTTCTTGGTTGCTGAAAGTCATTGAAGGTGAAGTGAAAATCTGGGTTACTGCAGGACCTGAAACGGTGGCCTCCGGACTGTTAAACCTTTGTTCTACTATCTGGGCTACGAGACTTTGTATCTGGATATAACTTAAGTAACGTGCTAGCAAGTTAGTGTTATTTATCCAGTTATCTAGAATTTCTGTAATTGGAGATCAACATTTCACATGAATGAATGAATGAAAGAGCTGTTTAACTGTGATACATAGCTGACTTGCCTACAATCTCTTGTTGTTTCAAACAATTGCCTTGATATGTCATGAAACTATTTAAGTATTGTAGCGATCTTAACATTTACACTGAATGCTGAAAGTCTGAATGTGTAAACAAATGTGAGTTTCTTCACAATTGGTTATATCTATAGGTGGTAACCGTTCTTAAAATTCAAATCGAACAGAAATTCCAGAGATTCGTAACGTAACTCTTGGTATATATATATATATATATATATATATATATATATATGTTATCATGAAAATGTAGCTACTAATCATTGAATCAAATTTGCATTCGTTTGTCACGAGGGTGTTTCAGGTCAACATTGAACAACTCAGCTGTGATGATTGCTCGTATCTTGTTTAAAGTCGATTGAAACGATTTTTGTTGTTGTTGTACTTATATAGTGTGATCCTTACTCAGAATTAATTGCTTGACATATTTTTCACCCTTGGTTTCTCTCCTATTATTCAAGGCCTTAGGTTGCATACTATTTTATTTGACGTGTACTTATCACCCATTTGAAGATTCATCAAAACTTGCCATACTTAATGCAAATTACACCATACCATCTTCAACCAATCCAGAAAATACAGCTTTCTTCAGTCTTATCCGTGAGTTCTTGTGTATTGGTATTTTGGTAAGACTACTCAACTATGTATTTGATGTATACTGATTCTCTGGAAAAGTATGCTTCTTAAAATGTTATTCTTGCACTAGGACGTTTTGCGCTAAATCAGTTTAGTGTTATAGTGTAGTGTACAATATAGCGTCATCAGCATTACCTCTCCCCATATATATATATATATATATATATATATAATAGCTTGATTCCACACCGTATTATTGGTAGAAGTTTGGAATTTTCAGCATGTGATATCGGCAGCCCAAGTTTACATGCCCACCATTGATATCGGGCGTGCATTGGCAGGGAATCGAACCCCAGGCCATGTGCATGGTTGGCGAGAGTCCTAACCTCTGCACTACCAAAGCCACATATATATATATGTATATATATATATATATATATATATATATAGCTTAAAGTCAACTTGTTTCTCGTCTGAATGATATTAGAGTAGTCTAAGTTGCTCTTCACGTCATTTGATATTCAGGTGTTGAATTGTTTCATCACCAACCGGTATCAGCTTTTGTAGATGTATGCAGGCGATTTCAGCTTAGTGTTTATATTTTTGAACTTTGCTTGGTATAGTATATAAGGTTATGGTATATAAAACACTATAATGATGGGCTGGCTAATCCTTTTGATTACTATCGTGAGATGGAATGGATAAATTCCATATTAAGTTGGCACAACTCGTACACTCTCTATTTTGTCGTATCTGTAGAGATGTTCAGTTCTGTTAGGCGGCGTTATTAAATCCAAACTGTTTCATTGATCAAGAATTCCTACATCGAGGTTTTTCAGTACTCAGTGAGATATGCGATACTTTAGTCAACGATATTTCTGTTACCGTCGTCAGTGTTTTATAGATATTGTATGCTAGACCGCATTTTGTGCATATACTAATAAGGAGATTATAAATGCGTTTGAACGAAATCCATTGCGTAGTGAACATTAGTGTAGTCGCTAAGTGAAATATGAGAATTCGATCATGCTTGTTTATAGCTAGAGGTGTTCTTAGCTAATAGAAAGATAAAGGTAGGCTTTTCACGCTTTTGTATTTCATAGCAGAATTATATTCATATTTATAGTTTATCCATAGTACTTATAATTCTAAAATTCTAATAGAATTATGTTAATTTCAATCAATTTCTCAATTAGTAGCTTAACTGGTGTGAAAATTATTTCTAATTCTTTCTTTCTTTATTTTTTTCAGGACAGCTACTTTTGATTAATCCGTCTCAGCGTCCTAACATAAATGAAGTTCTTGGTGAATTATCTGAGTTAGCTTCCATGCGAGAAGTTCGTGTCAGTGGTTCTATTCCCCTGTTGGAAGAAATCGCTAAACGGCGTAATTTAAATGCTCCCACTCCTACGAATCCGTCAGTCAGTGAGTACTGACTATTATAAATCCTTACAACTTAAGCTGATCAATGATTATTATCGTTGTTTTCTGTTACCTGATTCGTGTATTTGTTAGACAAGTATGACTCTAGTCTTTACTTGCATTTGTAATCATAGAAAAGATTGTTCGATAGAACAAAAAGACTTTTTCAAATCGGTTAACATTTAGATGGGTATGCAAGTAATGTTGTGTTATACCATTTGTAATGATAATTATCTTAATTTATTAGCCACGCAGTTTATGAGGTTTAAGGATAACTCATCTTGCCAAAAGTGTTTGGCGATCGGTCGATTCGATGTTGCTGCTCGGTATTGTGTTGTACTTCATTTTGCACAAGTTGGTATTAAACTTCAAATCTGGGCTTATTGTCTGTCTGAAGAAAATAAAATTTCCTTTTGAAGAATCTATTTAATTATAGGATATCGCGTACAATGATTCTCTCTGACTGCAAATTGCGTCTATACTGATTCACATGGAATATACAATTGTGCCCTACCGTAAATTTTTAGCGTAGTTAGCTAGGGTTAGTTTCTTGAAACGAAGATGCCCAGAAGTGTTCTATTTTGACTATCTAGTTTCATGGCTGTCATATTATCACACATATATTTAGAAATTCTCTGGCTTCCACAATTTATGCTTAGCTGATGATAGTGCACTTATGCACTACAAGTATATGTGTCATGAGAATAATGCTATTATGAGTACACCGTTGTCCTTGCTTTTTAGATTTATCCGTGGTTACTTTGTGTGTATTAAATTGAGTGAATTGATCGTAATAAGATTGTTGATTTTTTTTCTGAATAGGCGTTTAACTCCAGCCTCAGAGGTTGATCTTGAAGTACAGATTATATAGTAGTTTAATTTATGGGCTTTTATTGTTAATTATTCATACTTTAGACCGTAGCGAATCTAAAACAAATGAATGTCGTCCAGGACCAATCCATTCAGATGGTACTACCATAGCGAACCAACGGGCAAATCTGCAACCTCCATCCAAACCGTCTAGACCTAACCCCCCTCCACCCATAGTAATATCACAACAACAAGGTGCAAATCCAACAGTCACTTTTAACGCTACTTCAGCGACGAAGACACAGACGCCTACAGTTACACAAAGTTCAAGTAACAGTCAATCACAGAATCAATCGGTGAGTAATATGTTTGGTATGATTAAAGGTGGAGCTGGAAATCTAATCCGTAATATTCGAGATGCTTCGACAAAGGTTATTGGATCTGTTTCTACGTAAGTCCCAATTGTTGCTTCTTTTGTATAGATTTTCCACAAACTAGGTCATGTAAACTTTATTTACATTAAAGTGTTTGCCTTTATTCATTTATTTTATTAAATGGAATCTACTGGCTTATTCGAATCTCATCACTATCGTTCATAACGGTGCACTAGACAATCAGTCTCATCCGTTGTCAGTGAATCCTTTATTCACACAGGTTGGAGTAAATTTATATTGCCTTTGAGTTTCAAATATACATCATTCTGCAACGCAGATGATGGTTTTGCCATCAAGCTCTTTGGCTTACAAATGATCTTCTGTGAAGTTTGATTATTGTTTAAAAACTCCCCATTGAGGAAAAGCTTCATATCGTCAAAAAGTAAGATGCATTGCACGTTACAATGATGTATGATATCGTGCCATTTAACTCTGTGCCTCTGCAATTCCCACTGTAGGGATACATCTTAATCGATTTACAGGATTAAACGGTTACCTCAGTTACTATTCAGTCGCGAATACATGTAATCATGCCATAAACAACATGTGACGAGATGTGAGAGTATTTTGAGTTCAGAAAATATCTGTTAGTGATTTACCAATAAAAAGTCTTACGCAGGTTGTGTGTGTGTGCGCTATATGCAGTCAATATAGATTGTTGTTTAGAAATGCATAGAACTCCCTGATAAATAGGTAAAGTCACTGGCAAACAACAGTCCAAATTTTTAGGAGAGCAAATAATAGAGAAGATTTATATTTCTAGTGGATGAATGTTTTGTGGCTGCATTTTCTGAGCTAGGTGGTTTAATTGCGAAGTTTTCATTGTCTTTCCAGAAAAAATCTTCATCGTAAACTTCAATATGAAGTGAATTTATTCGAATTCTGCATGAATGATATAACAGCAGCATCTTTGGACAACATTTACTTCAGTTGGCTGTCAGTTTGCATTAGTATCATCATCATCATTGTTCCCTTGGGTTCCTAGTGGGACATAGGGCTTCAACTACACGTCTCCACTTGCTTTTGTCTTCTGCTGTACTTTTCAACTGCGTCCATGTTAATTCATACTGTTTCAATTCCTCCTCACACGATCTCCTCCATGTCACCCTTGGACGTACCACTCGCTGCTTACCTTTCGGGTTCCACTCGAGGGCCTGACGCGCATTAGTATAAATGATTTTTATTGATTAGGAATTTGACTTATTCTTGATCTATAATAATGTCTGTTGATCGCGTATTCGTCTAAGTACTAGACTTGTATAAAAAAATATACATAACCCGTTTTATGATACGCTGTCACAAAGCGCATCAATTGATCAGTTATTCATTATTTATAGTTCAGATTGATTCGAACTGACATTAAAACACATTGTTCGACAGTTTTCTTGAAATTCCTGAAGAGCAGGTGCGTACCGTTCATTGGTATGACAGTCGAAATTCTGTTAGCATTTGAAACTTGCAGCTCAGTTGGTTGAGTGTTAGTAAGCTACTCATAAACTATAATTGTAATATAATATCATTGTCCCTCGTATATTAGCATCAGTCCGTTAACCAAGGTTATCATGTCCCGTAGTCAATACAGTCAAACGTCTTTATTTTGTAGAACCAACAAAATTATATATATATATATATATATATATGAAATATATCGTCAGTAAACGCATAATACAGCTCATGATCTTTATTTTCAGGAGATTATTCTTTAATGTTATGTCTCTCTGTCTTCTGGATTTTTAAGTTTTATTTAACTATTTTCAGCTCATTGAATACGGAACTTGATTTCCAGTTCATCACTTCTCGTATAGCAGGTCAGTGTAATATTTATTTCCTTCGGTTTAACCTAAAAGGCCCATGTAATGCTTCATTATAATAAATAGTCCCTGTACTGATCATTGAAAGTGAGTGGAGTTATTATCCCTTAGCCCGAAACACTCAACTTTTAATAAGAAGATTGTAATCTTCCTCCACTTTCCGTAGTTTGCGAAATTATATTCGTATTAGGAACTTGTATCAACAAGGTATAGATCTTGGATAATGATCACATTAGTTGATCAGTCACTGCTATAAGTTCATTGTTATCTTTAAATTGTGCCCAGAAATTCCACGTTACTTCATATTTGCACAATTGATGTGTAGTTTTTGTAGTTTCACTTATTCCTTAATTAAAACATACTTTAACATAAGAGTAGAATTTGGGCACCATAGTAGAGTACAATTTCATATTAGATAGGTATATGCGATATAACATACATTGATGCAGTAATAATAACTAAGGCATTACCACCTGTTCATCGGCAGAACTCATTTATTTTATTGAAAGACTGTTTACTGACGATGAAGGGAATTATTGGTCTAGCGATTATTTACTGTACTGCTTTCAGTTTTGGCCAGCAGTTAGTATTATTCTGTGTTGAATGATGGAGCTCACAAGTTTTAACGAAGACAGGGGTGTAATTACTAGGTTGCTGTTACAACTACGCTGCTTAAACGTTTTTTGTTTTATCGTTTAGTTCACGCTTTACTTCTATACTTTGCTTTCTCTCTTAGTTACGTCTTTTCCTATTGAAAGTGGATTTGAAGTACTTGCCAATGTTAATTCAATGGAAGAAATGCAAAATATGCTTGATACACGTTTTCCAGATGCCTACGCTGTGTATAATCTTAGTACACGAGCCTATCGATCAGATCATTGGTTTCATGGTAGAGTATCTCATCGTGGCTTTGAATCGCATCGTGCTCCTTCATTAAAATCTTTAATTGAATTATGCTTAAATGCTAGGCTATGGTTAACTCAGAAGCCTAACAATATTTGCGTAATCCATTGTACTGATGGGAAAACGTTGTCTGCAATGTTGGCGTGTTCTCTATTATGTTTTTGTCGGGTGTTTGATAATGCTTCACCTGCTATTCAATTGTTTGCATCAAGGCGTGGTAATCCAGGTTTAAATGCATCACAAATCAGGTATGATGGTTTGTCCATTTCTCTAATTATCAAAGCACTGTTTTAAACCTTGGTGACATGTGTTAAGATTCAAACTACAGAAAGTAAATAAAATGAGTATATTAGATAGTTGGAGACAGTCAACAGGAAACCCTGGATGTAGGTTTCGTGGTTGTTGACACTCGTCAGCAAGGAGTATCTGTAACTCTGAAGGAATTCCTGTCCCCTCGAGGGGTCGAACCCGCATCACCCAGTGCTATAGTCAGAGACTTTACCGTATAGTTTTAGTAAGATTACTTCAGAATCAACCTTTGAATATCGAATTCTTTTAAAACGTTGTATACACATTAGTTGATTTCAATTCCAATTTTGTGCGTATTTATTGAAGTGAGAGACAGAAATGAGGTGTTACACACTAACGTAACTATCAGCGATAAGTAGACGTAGCAGCGCTAGGCGACACATGAATAGATAAATACAAACGTAAAATGAAAATGCTATGACATTGTGGTTGGATTTATTTTAAAACAAAAAGTAATTGTAAGCGTGGTGTGAAATGTTTTGTAATATTTGCAGTTAAATTTGATGAGACTGTGTTAGTCATGTTATTTCTGATTCATTCATTGGTTTTGTAGGGATTTTTGTTTGATTGCATGGAGGATTTCATCATGAGCTGACATCAGTTAGAGAACCACTGGAAAACCTGGGAGTACTGGACAGCTGTCCAGTTTGTAGGGATTTTTGTTTGATTGCATTTATGTAGATTTCACTCTGTGGCTAATATACTGTCTTCAGACTGGATAGCTAATTATTACACTTCCTTCTCCTTTTTATTTACACTATGCAAGATAAATACTTTGTTTCATTTGCATAAATAAATTCGTATAGCCTATCATTGGTCTAACCAACTGTGATAGAATCCTAACTTTCCTTGTTCTTCTTTCTCTGTACTTCACTTTAGATATATTGACTATGTGGCTCAGTTAAGTCATAATCGTGTATTTACACCGCATCACTTCCCTTTAAATCTTATCAGTTTAACCATTGCACCGGTGCCTACATTTAATCGATCAAAGTGAGTAATTCTATTATTGTATTGTTTCATTTTGGTTCTTTTCTTGCTTAAACTCCCATTCTGTATGGTTATTACTATCATTTCGTATTTTTTTAAAGAAATTTAGTTCATACTTTACTTTTTTTATCAATGTTAAATTTATGCAAACTTCATTTTGGTTAATTGTCAACACAATTTCTAAGGTTCGGTTATTGAATCAGCCTAAATCTGTGTTATAAACAGTGGAATGTACCAACTCCGTTTTCATAAGTGTGTCTGATTGATTCACTCATTAGGCATTCAGACTTCGTGACTGAATGACTGACATCGTAAGCATGTGAGCAGTTCGATTATTACTTTGAAACCCTCTAGATTTATAGTTGATTGTTCAGTCCTATGGTATGATTAACTGTCACCATGTAAACCTGTACTTCAAACTGGTGCATGTACCAGCATCTTGTACGGAAATTCTAGACTGTTTTCAAATTAATTCTAAAATCATTAACTGAATTAAATTTATATTTTCCGAGTGATGTGAAAAATTTGTCTCCAGAATGATACCAGTTTGAATGAGCGCCACCAGGATGTAAGTAAAATCGGGACATTTCTGATGCAACAGACCACATATCCTAGCATAAAATCATGGAGGTACAGTTTTATTTATTTAACTCTGAAGTCTGCTCTCTAGATATCAAACATTTACTGCTGCAGACTAACAAAACTTGTTCACTAAAAGTGGTAAAATTTAGGGGAATGCTTTATCATCGTCGCTTATTTGAAATGTTGTTGCTTAGATAGTTGTTTGCTGCGGTGTATCAAGCTGATGTTTTTGTTTTTCGACGTACCTAAAATTAAGGAAAATTTGATATTTTTTGGTTATGCCTGAATCATACTCACTAAATATCCGCATGCTTCATTGGGAACAGTGTGTGTTTGTCCAGATGTGACTTGTGTTATTCCAGATAAGGCAAAAAGAAACAACTTTTTTGGTATCTTACTAGTCCCTCAGTAAAAGTGTCATGTAGGTTGTTATTCTCTAGTTCTTATCGTGTACTTGCTGTCCTTTTTGGGTGTGTAACTATTTTAATCCGTAATAACTAGCTGATATCTTGTTGGTTGATTTACAGTAGTTTACCAATTTTTTTTCTACTAGTTATAGTGTTCATCGGCATAGGGGCTTCTACAAGTCGCTGATCGATATAAATCCTAACTTTAAGTGCGTCCCGATTGAAATATATTGACCGAGTAGATAAGGTTGTCACCGCGGAGATATGACTTAAGCATATGTCTTCATATCACTGGACAATATCAATTCTTCTCTCACAATATGTGTAGGCGATATACTTGGAACATGAAAAATATATATTCTGATTGTCGGACTAACTGAGTTTCCGACGTAGAACTTCGCGCATCAGTTCACCATTTCAAGCTGTCGCAATTCATGTAACACTCGAAAATAGAGGGAAAAGAATTGTAATAAACAAGACATTCTGAGGAAGAATAAGTATGTGGAGAATAATGAGGATTTAATAGATCTGGGAGTTCAGAAAAACTGAATACATCTACAACACCGACAATCCCAAGCCATTAGTTTCTAGCATCTCGAGGACCTCAGTCAGACGGTCCACACCTTACGTCTCCCTACTTGGCTCATGAAGGATTCAAGAAATGATTCCAGACTTGGTTTGACCATTCCTCTCTCTTCTTGCAGCCGATTTAGCTTCACAACGTTTTCAACTGACTTCCGTTCCTTACCTAACACTTTAAACCAAACTTCAATAATTACTCACCCATGTCCTGTGTTCCAACCGTGATCTATCATTAAAATATTAGGAAACTGGCTTTAACCGATCAACATTTATTTTCTTCAGTACGTCAGACGTGAACCTGAGGTTAACTAATCAATTGTACTATCAATTATAATTTCAAAGTCGTGTATCGTAAGTCTTTAAGTAGCACAAAATGAGATGATAAAATCAGTTGTTAGTTTTAATCTGACATTTTACTTTTGGTAAAACGGTCTAATTACTAGGTTTGAAATAAAACCTTTGATTGTGACATTGTTGCGATTGTGTGACCTAATTTCAACGTTGTAGGTTGAAAGAATGACATTATCTACACAACGCTAGGAATGGATAGTTAAAGCCTTTTAGAAGTGTCTACTCAATAATGTGTTCTGATTTCATGTTCTTCCCACCTAAAGCTTTGTATTTCTCTATTTTTGATTTTTAATAATAAATTTTATGTTATATTGAGGGAATTATTTTCACTACGCTTATAAATGGGAAATTATTTTTTCTATCCAACAATCCTTTTGTTATTTCGATTAGATTTAAGATTGTTAAATAACTTTGTGCTCTTTTATAACCTTATGCAGAGGACTAATACACGCTTAACTAGTTTACGTAAATTTGGATTTAATGTTACCATGCTGTATTTTAGTGTATTCCTGCACACGGATTGATTTTCATTCTATGGAAGAACATCGCGTATGTGCTTACCATATGACTCTCATTATGCTGTGCTTCAGAGAGAGAGAGGGAGAGAGAGAGGTGGTGATAGAGAAGTGGTCATTAGTTGTCAGAAATGAAAGTCTAAAATAGATATAGAATTTTTGTGTCTTTATCTTTCGGTTGCTAAATAGTGAGATATATCCTTACGTGATTAGCGTAACAAAACTAGGGGGGCGATCATCAATGGGTTCTTTCACACGCTTACGAAATTTCATCCAGTACATATTTTTATTCTATGTCCTTGTCTATCTGCTTGTGGTTGTCAGCAAAGAGACTGATAGGCAATAATTATGCTTCATTCACAGTTTGTACATCCTGCTAGTTTAACAAATAATTTTTTATGTATGAGAAGCAAAACTATGTTGTTGTGCTGTACACTGTAATTGTACATGATTACTTTGTCTCTAAGTAAGTGTGTTTTGCCAGTGTGCATAGAGATTACTAGTAAGCGTCAATTTTTTTTATTCCTTTACATTCCCAGTGGAACATAGGGCTTAAATCAAGAGGCTCGAAGCTTCCGTAACAGTGAAGTTTAATTTCACGGGATGGGGTTGCTGGTCTCATGCCCAACCTTCTCTCTTTACCGGTCTTACTACTGGCTTAGCGAGGTAAAGGAGTGCGTCGGCCGGAGATTGAAACCCGGACCACATGCGTGGTTGGCGAGCATTCTATCGCTGTGCCGACGACTCACATTCATACCTTGTGAATGCAGTTAATGTACGCTCTCAATATCATAATGACTAGTTTCATATCATGTCAAAAGTTACTGACCGACTTCAAGTCTTTCTTTTTTGATGTGGTTGTTTTCTCTGAGCTGGATAGTTAATTCGCGAAGCTTTCATCACCCTCCTAGGTGACATCTTCAGCGCATACTTCAATTTGAAGTGAGCTTTTAGATTTCTCCACGAGTTAATTAATCATCTCTCCCGGTGACCTTGGACGTGATTGGTTCTTTTTGTATGTTTTCGCACCTTCTAGGCTACTTGTATTGGAACTGATTGTTTTTTTGACTTGAACTTTGACCCTTTGTGTGTGAGGTTTCTTTCTTATCGGTTGATAAATTTTGTCAATCACGTCCAATGTCACCGGGAGACATGAATGATAAACTCGTGGAGAAATCTAAAAGCTCACTTCAAATTGAAGTACGCTCTGAAGATGTCACCTAGGAGGGTGATGAAAGCTTCGCGAATTAACTATCCAGCTCAGAGAACACAACCACATCGAAATCATCCACCTGAGTTACAAATCTTCTCCATCATATCAAGTCTTTCTTTCTGTAATCGATCCCTGTATTTACCTTCAGTTACTCACTGATTAGGGAGTTAACGTATAACCTTGTAAAGACGTGCGTTAATTCATAAAAGACGAAAGTAGGAATGTAATGACACTTGTCATAATGGATAAACATGTATGGGAAAGGGAAGTGGTTCATAATTCTTAATGGATGTAAACTGTATGACTATGAGTCTCCCATCATTTGTGTCCATAAGACTCCAGCAACTCAACCTGCGAGTGTGGTCTGAAAGCAAAAAGGTATTAGTATAATCTTAGTTTATTGTTTTTGATTGTTTTCCCTAACACTCTTCACATTTTTTGAATGAATTCTTATCAAATGGGCTTTAACCTATTGCAAATGTCAAAAGTTGTCGAAATCGATTAGATTTTGATAACAATTTAACTAACATTAGTACACAAAAAGATGACATTCAAAGAGCTGATGAGCATGTCAAGCACTGAATTGACGAATTCCCACTTGTATTTCAGGAGAGGTATCCCCGTCAGTCAGACTCTTCGGTTCAACAGGCATTTCTGAAGTAAGATACTTGAGTAATGACATTAAAGCATAAAGCTGTTGGTTTAAAAACTGACATCTGTCATCTATAGCATGCCTAATTCACAATGTTTCTTTCTGTGTGGATAGACCCCTTGTTAACCGTAGTGTTGTTTGAACAGTATTGCTCTTCACCAAATTGTTGTTGTTATAGAATGAAAGTTAGCAAGTATACTATCCGAAATATGATTACACCTTTCTTAATTAATTTCGAGTACCTTTAGTGAGCGATTGTACTTGCTTTTAATTCTAGCTATGCTTATATTACTGTAACACTTTGTTCACTATGTGTTGGAGGCATTTAGAAGAATGATGGCATCAACACTTCCACGGTGTGGGCAGCCGGGAAGTAACAATCGCCCTCACAATCCGAAGTGCACGCGAAACCCCTCTAATCCTCGCTCATCTTTGTCTTCATCTTCATCTCTATTATCTTGCCTTCCTTCTACTAATGCAACTCCTCTACTTGTTGGCTCTTCACTTCCCCTTCACTCTGTGTGCACTGATAACGATGGAAGCCAAAAAGCCACCACTGATGGTCTCCTAAAGCCACGCCACCAATTTTATATAGGAGCATTTAATGTTAGGACACTTTACCAAATAGGACAACAAGCATCACTAGCCAAGACTCTGGCATCCCGAGCCATTGATGTATGTTGTGTTTCAGAAACACGCAT